CATAACTTATATACTTTTTTATCTCTACTCGATATGAGATTTGTAAGATGAGAGTTGTCTTTTATTTATATATTTTTTAATTTATTTTTTAATTATGTTATCTTTTAAACGATGTGAGATTTATAAGGTCAAAGTTGGTCTCTAATTGTTTTATAGCACTATTGAAGTTGGTAACAATGAGTGATTTGATACCAATTTAGAATAGTGAATTAGGAGTCAACCCTATAAAATGAACCTGTAAGGTGATAGTTATTACTCACTTATATACTATTTAATTATCTTATCTCTAATCAATGTGGGACTTAAGTTTTTTCTAAATAATTGTCGCTAATAGTAAACTTTAGTGTAATATAAATATATTTTTAGTGGCTATTATATATTAGCCATTAATATTTTTACATATGGTGGCAATTAAATTATTGCCATTAAATAATTGTCATTAAAAATAAATTTTGTTGTAGTGTTGTTACCATTAATTATGCACAATCTAGGATTGTTACACTATTGAGTAAAAGTATAATCGACAGACTTTTGGAACATATGAAACCATGACCAAGAATAAAATAAGATGTCTTTTGTGAGTTTATCTTTGTCAAACTACCTTTAAACACACGAAAATTCCTATACTTCCAAATACACAAACTTGTTGCATACTAGACCACACGCTAGATTTCCCTCCTCCACTTTTGAATAGATAGGCCCTGGAATGAAATTGAAATGTTGTTCCAAGTCTTGGGGAAGGGGCAAGGGGCAATTTAACCCAGAAAGCCATTGTTTCCATATGTTGTCCACTAGAGGACAAGCACAAGAGATATGCAAGGAGGATTTAGCAACATAATAATAGAAAGAATAGATGGTTTGTTGAGGTCGTAGTAAAATATTTCTCTTTAATAAATTCTCAATAATTGGTATAGCACTATGCAACAACCTCCATTTAAAAATAATGACCTTTGGGGTATTAGGAGAGTCCAAATTTGTGTAAATTTTTTATCCACTTAACTTCCTATAGTTGTTCAAGGTGGATAGACCTATAAGTTGATCTGACTGTGAAAGCCCTTAATTGATCTGCCAACCACTTCCATGTATCCAATTGATCTTGTTGAAGTGTTGCATTTGAAAGTATTTTCTGTAGAGATTGTAACTGCCTTGTCTCCCATTCAAATCAATTCATACACCATCAAGCTCTCAAACCTAGCTGTCATCATTCCAACCACCCATGTTAGCGACTGTATCCAATTGTTGTTCTAAATTTAAGAAGAGCCTAAGATAAGCCATTGCTAAACACTTATTTCCATTCCAATTATTAAGCCAAAATCTAGTTCGTGATCCATCCCCAATCTTCCATCTAACTAGTTTATCAAACCATTTCTCTTCATTATCACCTTCGCAAACCTTTAAAAGATCACGCCACCAAATAGAAACCTTATTAGAGGCATTCCCTAAGTAGACATTGTAGTCACCACCGTGTTTTGAAACTAACACCCTACCCCACAGTGAGTCTGGTTAATGGAAGAGATTCCATCTCCACTTCGCCAAAAGGGTTGCATTGAACACAATATTTTTAACCCCCAAGCCTCCTTGTGCCTTTGGTCGAGTTATTTTGTCCCAACTAATCCATGATATCTTTGCTTGACCTATTCTATACAACCTCATAAAAGTTTTCTTTGAATAAAAGTTGATTATCTTCTAACCAAATTTGGCATTTTGAAGAAGGATAAGTAATAAAGTGGCACCAAGGTTAGAACTAAATTGATCAAGCATATTGTACCAACTACCGATAATGTTTTGTTATTCCATTTTGATAACTTCTTAAATTTCTGAATAATAGGCTTCCAAGTCTCCCCTTTTTTAGGTTTGCTCCAATAGGTAGACCTAGGTAAGTAAAAGGAAATTGACACAATTTGCAATTCAAGAGATGTGCATAACTCTCCAATGAGTTTCTTTCCAAACCAATCACACCAAGGCTACTTTTAGAAAAATTAACTTTTTATCTAGATATCACTTCAAAGCACCTAAGAATGCTTTTTATAGCAATTACCTTGTCAAGGCTTGCCTCCTCCATGAATATTGTGTCATTTCCATATCAAAGAAAATTGATGTCTACTTGATATTTACCCACCTTGGCACCTTTGAACAAATTTTTGTGGCCTGTCGCTCTCGTCATTCTTTACAAACCTTTTGCAACAATATTTAAAAGGAAAGGAGCCAGTGGGTCCCCTTACTTTAAGCCTCTCCCCATCTTGAATTATTCTGTTGGACTTACATTAATAAGAATATAAACATGAGATAATTTGAGACATACCTTCATCCATTCATTCCATTTACTATTAAATCTCAACCTTTGAAGCATATGTATGAGAAAATTCCAACAAACTAAGTCATAAGCCTTTTCAAAATCTACCTTGAAAAAACCGCTGTGTTTATTCCATCTCCTTGTTTCATCAATAGCTTCATTAAGCACCATCACATCATGTAAGAGACTTCTCCCTTCCAAGAATGCACTCTATTTATCACCAATAACAGAGGGTAAGACCTTCAATCTGTTTGCAAGAATTTTAGACAAAATTCTATACATGTAGTTCACCAAGGAAATAGGCCTATAGTCACCCAAGTGTTGTGGATCGTCCTTCTTTAGGATAAGAGTAATAAAAGTTGAATTAGTACCTCTCGATAATGTACCATTGACATTAAATTCCTTCACAATTATGATTATATCCCTCCTCATAGAATGCTTTTAGAAATTTGAAACTAAAATCATTTGGTCCATGACTCTTAAAGCTACCATAATCTCATAATACTTGTTTAATCTCCTCTTTCTCCATGTTGAAAATGAGAAAGATATTTTGTATGTGAAAAATATGCTTAAACCCTTCATGTTGAAAATGAGAAAGTTATTGTATTTCGAATGAAATATTATTGAGTTGACAAACTCAACTCTTATTTATACATATGAAAAATATATAGAATAAGTAGTGATAGATAAAAATAATTATATACAGCCATAATATTAATTTTTTATCGTTTAAAATTTTAAATCTTGAGAGTAATTAAATTAGGAATGTATGTTTGCAATTAGTACTTTCGACTTTTTATTGATGGCATATTTGACCAATTCTAATAGGTGCATAGTGAATCTACGAGAAATTAAAACCTCCAACCACACCTTATCACCAGTTAGAAAGGACACGTTTCTAACCTTATAACATTGAGTCGACTCGTTGTTCACAATCCACATAAAGAATTTCTAGCATTTTAACTATGTCTAGATTTGGAAAATTTTAGATATGATGAAAAATATCTTCTGACTCAAAACTCATATAATGGTGCAAAAGACGAAACAAAATGTGGAGACGCAGTAAATATATATTTTTAATTAATTATTGTTATTGTTATTTTATTTTTATTTTATTTATCTTTGCTAGACAATCTATTTGGTTATTATTAATGAGATTTTTCCTCTTAATTATAAATTTTTTTCATGTACAAAAATAATTACTTTAAAGAAATGCTATTTCGTTTAGTGGGGAGACGTAGTAACATTTGCCAAGGCGGATTAGTTACTTGTTTTTAATTACTTTAAAGAATAATAAGTATATTTTTCTTTATATGTTTTTCGTTTATCAAATGGTTGCTATTTTATTTAGATTCTTTAATTTTTTTCTTTAATAAATACAATAGTTAAAATAAAATTCCTTATAAGTTCATATCTCTGTTTATATTTAATTTTAGATAATTAATAATTATTTTTTAAGTAAAAAATTAGAGACCAACATAAAAAAATCCTTTATATATATATATATATATATATAGGAGGGTTCAAATGACACCGGTGTAACTTTTACTAAGTGTTACACTACTCAATATATTTATATTAAAAGATTAGCAATCTTCTGTGTCTAGCTATGCCACACTAGCCTATATATATATATATATATATATAAGCAAAAATATCATACGATTTTAATGACTAATTAAAAATTTTCATTCAAAGTCTTTCAATTGCTTAAGAGGGTTTTCTCAATGATTTTTATCATATTTATAATCCTTTTTTATTCAAAGAATATTTAAGTTTTATTGATTTCATGTAATTAAGTGAATCTAATTAAACAGTTTTTATATCTTGAATCAATTTAAAAAGAATTCAAAATTGTATCCCAAAATTAAAATGATAATTATTTCAAAAAGCTGGCTATAGACAACATTAACTCAAGCTTGATAAACTAAAGAAATGTGGGAAACATGTTTTACACCACATCGCAACAGAATTTTGTATTACACATGATAGGAACATATAATTTTGGAGTAGTATAAGACTTTGTAACTTCTTTCTTATTTTTCAACATTTTTATATTTGTGTTTGACACCCCTAATGCCTCCTTAATACATTTCTTTTAGCTGATAAAAATAAAAAATAAAAACTCAAGCTTGATACTTTTATTTAATGTAACAACATACTCTCTCTTTGTTTTTTTATTTTTATTTTTATGTCTAGTTGAAATTTATTAGAAAACATAAAATTTGGTGGTTTATGTTATATTTAGATGAGTTTCACACTCTATTAAATGACTTTCTTTTTCTTTTAATTTTATAATAAATGTTAAGAAAAATATGTTGCTATCACTTCTGATCGATAATTAACACACCAAATTAATTTTTTTTAAGAGATAAATGATTAAAACAATTTTTAATATAAAAATAAGAGAAAAATGAAATTAATTTTTTTTAAGAGATAAACGATTAAAACAATTTTTAATATAAAAATAAGAGAAAAATGAAATTAATTTTTTTTAAGAGATAAACGATTAAAACAATTTTTAGTATAAAAATAAGAGAAAAATGTTTTTTAGTTCCACTTATTGTGTAAGATCTTTTTGTTATCAACAAATCAAAATTAATCCAGGTAATTTTAACCAATAGAGTATGTTTCTTTTTAATGCTATCGAACCTAAAAGTTTAGAGGTGATATGAATTATGAAGCCAAAAAAGAGCAACGAGACAAATAGGGAGAAACCCAATAATAAAGTAGATAACTATATAAGTGCGACTCATACAAGGAAATAACAACTCAACAGAATTAAAAGCTATCCAATACAATCTCTCGTACAAGAGGGCTATATATAAGTGGAGCCCTCGGTCTTATTCTCAATATTATTAAGGATACCCTCATAGTAGTGTGAGTAGCCTGCGTCCGTGACTTCCTCTTCAAACCTTGATACTGCATGTAATTAAGTGTAACCAACAAATGAATTAAGATACTTAATCAACACATTTAAATCAAACCAACTAACTATATCTATGTCACTAATAATGATAATCATATGTATAAAAAAATCCACAATATATGAAACAAGGATTAATTTGATGTTTTAACTCAATATATCAATATTATCATATGTATACTTATATTATGAGATAAATAAAATTTAAAACTTAAATTAAGGTATATTTTAAGGTATACATTTTAAAATATATAATTTTATTATAAATACAATACAATATTATTCAAGATATTATTAATTAATTTTTTTTAATTATTAATATACATAATTATTCTAAAAATTTATACTTTCTAAAAGAATGGAGAAAGAATTGAGAGTAGTTAAAACATTATTTGAACTCGTCTTAAAATTTATATCAGATGTAATTTTAATTAAGATTTGAACGTATCCTCATTTCTAATTTGCATAGTGAGATGAGGTAGTCATATGATGAATTAATCTGAGTTCACAAACCTAGAGATGAACTAAAGCCATGCATATAGGTTCATGATGTTGTGAAATCATATAATCATGTGTGTCAACTAAATAAGATATATGTAGAGATGAATTAAAATTATAGAGGATTATGGTTGAATTTAGGGTTTAGATAGTTACGTAGCGCAGTTGGTGTTGGTGCTGATCTTGTAGGGGATTCTGACGCCACATTTGCCTGGGAGTGAAGCTGCGTTGTTGGCATTGAAGCCAGAAATGGCGCTGGCGGCTTGCTTCAAGCAGTTGCAGGCAGCCTGGCGGTCTGCGGTGGTCTTGGCGGCGGCGTTGAGGCTCCTGACTCCGCTGCAGCATGCCGGCGGCGGGCTTCCACCCCGTTGAAGGTAGCCTATGCACGGAGCTAAGGATCCCGTCACTTGCCCGCACGTGATGGCAGCACGTGCCATGGGTGCACTCACCACAACCATGCACAGCACTGCAACCACGCACGCAACCTTCATGCTTGCCATGGAATAACAAAGGGTGTGTTTGGTGTGTCTATGTGTATGTGTGTGTTCGGAATTGTTTGCTTGGTGAGTATGAGTGATGCAGGTGTAGGGTTTATATAGAAGGGAAGAGAGGATGCCTTCTATTTTTTTTTAATTTTTTTTTATATATTAAAATTAATAAGATTTCATTATGTTATTTTACATGATAGAAGAGAGTTAATGATTGGAGTGTCAAAGTTCTTCTCTCTCTCTGATTAGTAAAACACCCTTTTATGTGTTGTTATTGGATTATTATTACTTTTTTTTTTTTTTTTCATTTTTCATGACACCTTTGCAATGTTTTGAATTAAAAACAATATATAATAGATTTAAAATCATGTTAACTTTGAGAAAAGAGTAGTGTAGTATGTATTTGGAAGTGAAGTGATAGAAAGTCTTGTGGTAGTTAGTTGGCAGTTGTGTTGAATTGAATGCAGGAAACAAGATGTTTCATCGTTTGTACACCTGGCAGAGTACCATAAATTTGATGGACATCCCCATTATGAAGGTACTATTATTTGCTTTAGTTGACAAAGACAACGCAAGTTCACAAAACCACCACTTGCTGCATCTCTTCCGTACCACCCCTATCATGCACCCACTTGCTACATATCAAATTTCCACTTTGCTAAGTGCTAATTAAAACTCCCTTCCCAGTTACTGGTTGTGCTTCTATGTTTATTCATCCTTCCCACTAGTATAATTAACACGTGCTTTATATGAAAATTTCGCTTTTTTATAATACTAATTTCTAAAAATATTAAATTATTTTTTACTTACTTTTATCAAAGATCATAAAAATATGTAATTTTCTCTCTCACTTTTTAAATTTTCTTCAATTGACATGTATTATTTTGTTGATATTGGTATATAAGTTTTGATATAAAATCATATTCCTCTCATAAAAACCGGTAAATCATCATTTTACATTATAAGCTCAATAAAATTAATTAATATAAATATATTTATTCATATAATTCAATTAAAAATATCTTATAATAAAAATTGGTTTAAGAATCTCTAAATTTAACACTAAATCTTGATCTTAGTTTAAATATTTAAATATAATTAGAGATATCCTTTATTTTTTAGTGTCTGAAAAAGTTCTGTCTACTTATAAAAAATAAATTGCAGTTAGAAATATTATTAATTTAACTTTTACCCTCTTGCTCCTTTTGTGACTTTTCAATTTTCTTCCTCATGCCTCCATTTCTTGCTTAATTAATTTCCTTGGAAACAGAAGAGGTAAACTTATCTCTACAACTCATCCTCATTTGGGGGAGGGTGTTCCCTTTATTGTTCACTCATCATCGTTGGGAAAGTGAAATACTAATATCAACAAATGGATTCCAAACGTTTAACAAATATAGAGTTTACAAAGGTAACGGTTAAGGATATAATATATTGGATTTTTTTCATTCAAAATCATATTAAAGTTATATGAGAATTATATTCATAATATATATATATATATATA